CTATTGTCTTATCCTATATTATCTTGCCTTAACATTAAAATCAAAAGGGGCAAAATCCTCTTCTGTTTGCTCCATATTTAGAGAATTCCTTGTTCCTGTGGCCAAAGCGAGCAGCAGTGTTAATGTGAGACACTTGTGTCGTCTCACCTGCAGCTCGCTGACCCAGGAGCAGTGCCAGTACGACAGACCAGCCCACTTTACGAAGAACTCCCTCTCTGCGTGGCCCTTGAGCGGAGGCTTGGTCAGTGGATCGTTTGGTTTTCCGTCGGGGCCGGCGGGCAGCTCAGCCGGCAGCGGAGGTTCTCCCCATGTCCAGTGCAGAATCTTCTGTACTTTACCTTTCAGCGGTGGACACTTAAAAAAAGTAAATATACAAACATGATAACAGATGAATGTAGTTCACATTAATATGCAGATTAATTCAAACTAATGAGGAAAAAACATCCTTATATATTCAGGAAACAAACTTTACAAATTATTTCTAGATTCAAGCTGACATTTGTTTTTTACTCTCACCCTAACAAACTTTCTCACGAAGACGATTTCTGCCAACTTCTGTTGCCACAGGCACTTTATCTTTTTATAAAATACAGTCAAGTGTACAGACTTATTTTTCACATTTTAATCCTGAGCTTGTTTTTCTTCGCGATGACTCCTCAACACATTTCCACCGACTTCACCCCACAAATCCACAACTGAGAGTTAAGTCAAATAGCAAACTTCCAAAATTCTAAACTCACGATACTGTAGAAGTGATTATAAAGTGGTGTTCATGTGAAGTGCTGGAGTATGTGAAGCATGTTGTCAAGTGCACAGAAATCTATATTCACAATCATCTCAGTAGGTTTTTTTTTTTTGCTTTGAAGTCACATAAGTACATTTGAAAGAAATCCTAACATTCTATATTCTTTTGAAGTTTGGGAGATGAGTTTAAGGTACAGAACCTGTAAGCCTCAGACTTTGGGACTTGATGCATATTTTTATAAATTAATAGTCATTTCAACCATTATGTTTATGATCTAAATATCTTTTGAGGGTCGACCTCAGCTGATTAATAATTGATATAATTAACCTAAGCTGAGTGTTTTGGGGCAGTGGCAGGAAGCAGAAGTACCCTGAGAAAACCCACACAGATATGAGAACATGCAGACTCCACACAGACTCCTGGGCTTGGTCGGCCGATAGGGTTAGGGTTAGATAACCCAAAGGGTGCCGTGCTGACCACTGCACCACCGTGCCTCTATCAACAGCCTCGACTCACCATGCACCGAGGACACAGCCACTCTCCGTTGGGTATCTCCGGCAGAGGCGGGTTGAGGCAGTGGATGTGGTAGGAGGACGGGCAGGTGTCGCAACACAGCAGCTCTCCTCCGTCTTTACACACTCTGCAGAACTCCATGTGGTCGTCCTCCTCCTCAGCCGCGGCCTCCTCCTCCTCCTCATCTTCATCTTTGGCCTCCCACTGGATGCCCTCTTTCTCCTGAGAGATGCAGTTTTGCACAAGTGGTTTCAGCAAGGTTACATTCTGACAGATTGAATTATCCCACATTTGGTTTGTACATAACCCCAATTATTACTATGAAGTCACATTAAGATGTAGTCATTTGTTGTCATTACTTAGTGCGCGATTAGATATGTACAACAAAATAACAAGCAGAATAAAGATAAATAACAAGAATCTAAGGAAACTTTGAGTCCACAGCATCAACAGCTTCTTTTGTTCTGTTCTGAAGATCATGAGAACAAAAGAACAAAATTATATTCAACATTGATTTCTCTGACACATTGATATATCATAGAATTAGGTTTATTATCTAATAATCTATTTCTTGTATGTGTTTAAGTTTCTTATGTACGTTCCACTTGCTTATATTTATTTCCCATGTTTATAAAGACATAATTGAAAAGGTGACGGTTTCTGTTGATAATGTGAAGTTGAGTGAATAAAAGGTTCAGTGTTAAAACTGTTATATATGTTTATGTAAATTTCACCTGCGTGTCAGGAACGTGACCCAGCCACATTTCCAGGTTTCCACGATGAGGCTCATTCGTCCTCCCAAATTAAATTCTCACAGAAGTCTACTTCAGCTCATTGTTCGTCTGTATGAAAGCAAAAGATAAGAGAATCAAACCGGTCAACTCACACAGTGCGGGCAGCTCCATTTGCCCTCGGGGGCCTTCTCCAGCTCGGGGTCCAGACAGACCAGGTGGTACGCTCTGGGACACGTGTCACACAGGATGATCTCTCCGCCCTGTTGACAGACCTCACAGTAGTCCTGGTGATCGGTCTCGTAGCCGTCCCCGTCCTCCTCTGGAGAGGGTGAAAGAGAAGTTAAACGTGAGTAAATCCCACGAACATCACGTGACTGCAGCAGATTAGAAACATTCTACAGAGTGTGAGGGAAATAACCAATGAGTTCTGAGTTCTGAGAATAAATAAAGCTCATAAATAGATTTTAATTCACTCGTAAGCTGTAATCAGTCTGAGATTTTGTTTTTGAGTTTGGAAGAGAGAGAAAACACACACACACACACACATACACACACCAGAGCGTGGTGAGTGTGAGACAGTAAACATACTTTTCCTTTTTTTCCGCCCACGCCGGGCCTTTTTCTTGGTGGCGGCCCCCAAGGTATCGGAAAACACTGAGGCACTGTGGATGCTGATGTCATCAAAGTCTGACTCCTCCAGGAAGTCCTCCTCACTCTGGAAGAGCACACACAAGAAATAAGAGCTCAGAGCTGCAGGAAGAAGTCAAATCAACCAGCGTGAGTCCAGAGGAAAATAATTATCAAATAAAACTGGTCGTACCGAGGAGGCTTTCTTCTTCTTCCCACTTTGGCCCGACTTTGATTTGGTCTTTTTCGGCTTCGGCTTCTTCTTCACCTCCTTCACAGACTTGCTTCTCTTCCTGACTCCGGGTCCTGAGACGCACACAGATCCAGACAAGTTAATCAAGTTGTATTCCTGCTACTACTTCTAAAAATATGCGTTCTGCCACACTCCACTGAGCCTTACCCTTTCCCTCTTTGGTTTTGGCTTTTTTGATTGGCCCCGGCTGAGAGCTCGGCTGGCTGCCGCCGACAGTCGTTGGCTGTGCCACGGTAACCGTTTCCACAGCGGCAGCCACAGCGGCGGCCACAGCGGTGGCAGATGCGCCTTTGAACGGGTTGTTGGCACTGAACTCTCTCCACTTGGCCCCCAACACCGTCATCATCTTTGACATGGGAATCTTCGGGTTCTTCTTGGCAATGAGAGGTCTGAGGAAAACCAGGGCGAGAGGAGACAACAGCAGCTTTATTATGTCACCCCTCATTCCTGCTGGTGTGATTTCTACTTCCCTCAGCACTGAAGGGAGCCGGGTCCTGATTTGCTGACACCCCACTGCCCCTTAAGTTTATTTTCGCGCCTGCTTTGCTGTGTGTATGTCATGTTTATGATTTGTCAGGCAACAGCTTGAGGTTTGGCACGCTGGCCTGTGAAGGATAGTGGGTCAGAGCAGCAAGTCCCAGAGCCTCCGGGCTGTCACAGGCATCCAGTAAGCAGCTGACTACTCACAGGGGGCACTGCAGGAGCTCATGCTCCACTTTGTCGGAGCAGAGGCTTAGCTGAGCCAGACAGCCCCAGGTGAGACAGACTCTTTATACCAACAGCCGAGTTTTCTAGCTCAAACAAAAAGAGCAGTGTTTGCTCGTCACAGAGCACCATCGACTCACTGTGGAGTTTTTGTTGGAAGTCTCTCCGTCAGGGACTCTGACGATTCTTAGAAACAGATCAGAGCTGTTTGACACACACAGAGAGACACTGCAGACATAAAATTAGATGCTTGCCTGAGGAACTGGCTGAAAGCCTTGTAGTTGGTGATGGTTTTATAGTCGTCCTCGGTGAAGCCGTACTGAACGTCCTCAAGACCCCACTCCTGCATCAGCTGGCTCGAGGATTTGGGTTCCTGGAGAAATGAGCCAAGGCAACAAATACACAATAAATTAAACGCACGATGTGTTACTTCCGTTGCTCGGGGTCTGTAAATCAGAAAAAATAACAGTAGTAACAAAGATCTAGTGTGATGATGTCAGTGTTGTCTTCACGTTATATAGTAATAACAACACTGATCCAGACTCTGTGGATATAAAGGGCTCGTTCTGAGGTCATGAAAACTCACGGGTTCCTATTTTACGGAGATTAAACACTAATGAAAACACAATTATGGATTAGATCATACACACTGCTCCTGTAAGGACGGGCCACCTAAATTCAAAACACTACTTTTCATTGTGACATATTTGCCCTTTGTCTTCCTGTAAAATATCCTGAGGGCGTTTGAAACACATAAATACATTTATCGTGTTTTTTTTTAAATTAATATATAATGAGAGGATCAATTTAAAATTATTGAAACTAAGACAAAAAGTACCCAACTAGAAGTTCTGTACAGAAACAACAGACGAGTAGAACAAGACGTGGTCATCAGGACGTCTGCGTCATGGACCTTCACTTACCTTCAAGTTACCATCATCGTCGTCATCATCGTCATCCTCCTCATCTCTCTTCTTCTTCCGGGGCTTCTTCTCTTTCTTCTCCTTCGGTTTCTTCTTCTTCTTCTTGGTGGGACCGTACATGCTGCTCTCACTCTCCGAGCCGATTTCTGGACGTTGCAGCTCCACCTCCACCTCGGAGGTCTCCTCCAGGTCGCTGTCAACTCTGGCCTGAATTCCTCCCTGCTGGCGTTTGAAAGAAAGAGGGACATGTGTGCATTCTTACGTACGACTACTAATAAGGATTTCAAATCTGGAGACATAAAAAGGGGGAAATCGTTAAAATATGAAACGTACTGATGGGGCAAATGGCATTAATTTTGCCAGTGTCAGGGAACAGAGGCCACTCACGCAAAAAAACCTTTACTATAAAATCTTTGCATGAATTCCAAAGTGTCACCTGCTCTGTTCATATCATAATTCCGCTGCCTGTTATAAAATATGCACCGATGAGGAGTGGAGGCAGAGGCACGTTCACCTTCTACACTCTCCTCAACATCAAACTGAGCAAAGAGGCAGAACACCTCAGGCAGTGCAGCCCGTCAGCTGATGTGTCGACCGGGCTGCATCCTGCCTGTGTGACAGGAGGCATCTGGACCAGTGTGTGGATTTAACAGTAAACAGGTGGTGCGAGTGAGATGAGGAGTGTCGCATACGAACAAATATACTGTGTGTGTGTGTGTGTGTTTGTGTGTGTGTGTGTGTGTGTGTGTGTGTGTGTGTGTGCGAGTAAGAGGGAGGGAGAGGGGAAAGTATGTATTTGAAAGTCTTTTTTTTCTGCATGTGTGTGCATGTGCCTGATCTCTTTGTGCGTTATTTCTCATCTCATGTGTGTTTGTGTGCACGTCTTCAAACAGTATATGTGCGTGTAGAGTGTGTATGCATCAGTGTTAGACCATTTGTGTGCACGTGAAAGTATGTGTGTGTACAAGTAAGAGAGAGGGAGAGAGCAAAGTATCTGGTGCCTCTCTCTCATAATTACATGTATGTTTGTGTGTGTGTGGCATGAGTGGATTGCACACGTGTCTGTTCATGTGTGTGCACGTGCCTGGATACAGTTTGTGTACATGCATGCATCTTTTTGTGCATTATTTTCAATCTCACGTGTGTTTGTGTGCATATCTTCATGTATGTGTACGTGCAGTGTGTGTGTGTGCACATGCTAAGGAGTGAACCCGTGCACGCAGCAGCGTCGTGCTCTTGCTCGCTGCCTGTTGCTCAGCAGGCCTGCGTGGATCCACGGAGAGACTTGCAGGCGTTTCACTCTGTAGCGCAGTGGAAAGGCTCACGTTGCCGCAGCGCCCGCCAACCCTACCAGCAGCCTGGCTGTGTTGCCATGGTGACCAAATTTGAGCAGTGTCTGGCTCCAGCTCTCTCTTTCTCTCGCTCTCTCTCCTCCTAGTTTTCTCTCTTTTTTCCCATAGCTCACCCCCCCACACTCACATGCACACACTCACACAC